ATAAAAAAAAAAAAAAAAAATCACAAATCTGTATATACCTGCTTGTACTTCTTCTGCCTCTTCCCATCCGCAGTCTCGATCACAAACTCCGTCGAAAATATATTCGTAAGCTTCGCTCCGTACCCGTTCCTCCCACCGGTCGTCTTCTTCATCGAATCGTCGTAATTACTACTCGTCAGGAGGTGCCCGAAGATCATCTCGGGCACATAAACCCCTTCCTCCTGATGAATCTCCACGGGAACACCATCCCCATTGTTGTAAACACAAATACAGTTCTGTTCCACATCGATCGTCACCTATTCATACGAGTCCAGTGATGTCATAGTTTTTGATATGGCCTTGTTCAACACGGAGAGAATCCACTGGCAGTTAAATGGCATGATATCTGGAACCACATTTGTTGGAGGGGTGTAATTATCTCCAAGTTTGCTCATGGCAAATCGCACAGCATTCCAAAGTTTATTACACCATTGGCGATACCCAACAACCCTTTGGATGTCCAGATTTATTTTATCAGACTACAAAGAAAGAGGAAAGAAGTCATTAAATTAACCAAAGAAAGAGGAAATAAGTCACTAAATTAACCAAAGAAAGAAAAGTAAAATCTGAGAAAAATAAGCATTAAAAAAGGTATGCACCTGTGCTGTGTAAGAGATAACAATATATGCAACTGACCTAACTTTTTTATCTAACCTCAAATTCTATTCAGTTATAAGAGAACACAATGGGTTGGCTGCACATTCAAGTCGGTAAAAAAAAAAGTCCAGACTGAAATCAATTCAACCATAGTTCATGCTCAAATTTTAATTTATTTTTATCTAGGCTAATTTTATAGCCTTCAAAGACCACTGTTATAAAGCTTAGCGTGACTCCTTCGACCATATTGCATTGAGAAATTAAAATGAAGTTAATAACCAATTTATACGTTAGTATGACTCAGGAACTAAAGCTCCTCTTGGAGATTTAACTTCTCTCTAGTGCAAGCAGTTAACTTCTTTTTCAAGCTCTCAATCTCCTGCTCCAAGCCAGCTGTCCTAATGGGGGGGATAAATTCACAATGCATTCTTATTTCCAATTTGAAAAGATAATGCCAACGCATACCTACCAAAAAAAATATTAATGATAACAACTTCATCTGATGGACTTGAGATAAATAATATACCTCTGAAAATGCATTCGAGTAGCCACAGCAAGGTAACCAGGACCAGCTTGCTGCATACACAGCTGTTCAATGTCTTTACGTAACTCATCACGCCAACCGGAGAGTGCTTTTTCAAGAAAAGAAGTGAATAAGGATCTGTATAATACTCCCAGGGGAGGAATTTTGAAAACACATTAAAGAGGAAAATCTCTTCAGAGAAATTTTCTTTTAGCAAAAAGCTAAGACTAGCTCTCTGACTCAAAGTTTAATGGAATCTAATTTTTGAGATGGGCCACCAAGTAAGGAGAGTAAGTAAACCCCGGAACTTCTCAGATGGGCCACCAACATCTTTGTTTAACACATTTCAATCATGCTGGAAGGTCAGTCACTACTACAACATATGACCACTCAAATTCGGAAAAATTCAAATCAAATTCTAACAAGCACTATAAATATAAACAATAATAATGAACATTCTCATCAATGTCCCCTCACAGAATGTTCCATGACCAAAATTCTATATAGGACATGTCCCATTACCAAGTATTAACCAGTCTTCATGTTTCCTCATAGAATTTTCTTTATGAAAAGGCAACTACATATTATTTCCAAAGTATTTGTTGGTAACAATTCAAAAAATCTCACTCCTACGTAACGATTTATTTTCTTATTCACTATTTAAACATTGTCATTACAATCCAAGGAAAGGAATTTTGGCTTACATAGAAGTAGTATAATCAGAAATGGAACTGTATACATAGCAAATAGGTATTTCATAAAATAAACATTAGAATATTTCCCTGGCCTAAAATATGAGGAATAAAAAAAGAATAAACAACTAAAGCTTAGATGCTTTTCATGAATGAAAAAAAATAAATAAATAACCCAAAAATAAAAATTCTATTACAATAAAATGAAAAAAAAAAACATATCATTTAAACATTTACCTTTCATGCCTTTCTTTTGCAGGCATCAACGCCCTGAGTGACCTGAGTGATTTCACGGCTGACTCAATCATATCCATCTCATACTCTACTTTCTCATTTGTCCAGCACTGCAAACAGTAGAACAAAGGTTGAGGAGCAGCATTAATTGATGTTACTTTCCAGTATTAAGACAGCTTATTACCATTATAAATGATAAACAACCAAAACAAACAGCAATAGAACCCATCATCCAATTAGTTATTCCAGACACACCGACAAGGTGTCTTGTGCATAACTCCTTTCAGAAGCAAATGCTTGAGCATCACTGGCAAAGTAGGGCTTGACGGCTTCAATAAACACATCACACAACTGGAACTGCCACCATGAATATACTGCAGTAGCAGCATCAGAAAATTCATACGAGTCCAGTGATGTCACAGTTTTTGATATGGCCTTGTTCAACACGGAGAGAATCCACTGGCAGTTAAATGGCATGATATCTGGAACCACATTTGTTGGAGGGGTGTAATTATCTCCAAGTTTGAAAACACACAAAGCAAAATTGAAAAGTTCATGCCAGATCCAAATTCTTAAGAACAGTTTTAAAATCATAGAACTCTTCACAGAGGTTACATTTAATGATGTACACAGTACATGGGTGTATCATATACACACAACATACATATGATGTTAACGGAGAGTACAATTCATGTCATGAACAGTACCAGATATTCATGTTTCATGAAGACCCACACCCTAAATTCCCAGCACTATGCTACAGATTCTACCAGAGTACAAAATCCTGTGCATGCACACAGTACCTCAAGTGATGTTTTGTTAAGCAATAAAACTTGACTTAAACCCTTCACCACTTTTATCCACATTTCAGTTTAGCTATTAGTTTCAACTTGTCTTTGTAAAGAAAATAGCAATCAAGATATTATAGTCAGTAGTAAGTTCCACTAATGAGAATATATTAGATCCTTGAAAATATAGTTAGATTATGATCTTTATTTTTCGCTGCAACAGAGAAAGGTAACAACTATTTGAGAAATAATTGGTGAATTTCAAGATAAATGAGTAAAAGTAATTTATGGTCAACTTTACATAAATAATGTCAAAAGGTCAAAATAGCCATCAATTCCAATAGAAAGGAACCCAATTCAGAACTCACTTTGTCCTTGTCCACTTTTGATAAGTTCAGCTCCTCTTGAAAGGATTTATTCAACTTCAGTTCCTCTAGGAATGGAAAACAGATCAGGCGAGAAATTTAAGACGAAAAAATGTGATATTACAATTGGACATTGAAAGAGTAGGGAAGAACCTTGTAATTTTAGCTGAATATTTGCTAACATGTCACGTTCTTTCTCAAGTTCTAAGCCCAAGTTATTTATTTCCGACTCATGAGCTGCCTGAATCGCTGCCAGAGACATGTTTTTCTCTTCTAACAAATATGCAAGCTCCTAGAAAGCATTCATATATGTGTTGTCAACTTCAATCATTACGGACAAAGAACAAAAATGAAACACACTAACTAATCGACTTCAAGAGAGGAAACATGAAAAAAAGAAAAAGAAAAAAAAAACAGAAGTTGCATCATAAACACAGCAAGTGATAACTTCTCAGGGAATGTGCTAATCCCAAAATTAAATTTTAATAAAAAATATTTAATCCATACAAAGGTTCCTAAAACTAAGAAATTTTAGCAAGCTAGCCAAAAATCATTTTGGAAATTGTAACATCAGGATCCAATCTAAAACACAAACTAGGTGATACATATTCATTAACTATATCTCACTCAAACTATGATATATAATTGTCAGAACAAAACAGAACAAAAGGTATCATTACCTTTTCATTGCCCTGAATACCAGATTGTTTTGATTCTATCTTAGTGTGAAATGTGAATGATTTCAGGTTGCATAGGTTGTGCAATCCAATTGCTTAGTCCATCCTGTTTATAGACAATTCCACTGCGTGTTTGATCACCAATAGAATGAAATTTTACAAGAGCTTCCCCACCAAGTACAAAGAGAGACAGACACAGAGAGAGAACATAATCAACTTAACCTTCCCCACCAAAAAAATAGCAAGATACAACATGAAACAACAGAAGAACATTCTAGAAAACAATATAAGCTCTTTGTTGACAAAATCACTGTACTTAATGAGCTTCTCCTTCTGATCAAGGTAAGTGCCAGGCTGCAAATCACATAGACAAAGAAAGTGTTATTAGAAAAAGAACAATTACAGAACACCTTAGATTTTATGGAAGAAAGAAATTTAACTTCCAACCTCAAACTGTCGAAGCCAATTCTTCCTTGCTTTAATTTTCTTCTTACTGAAGGCAAGCTCAATTGCTTCCCCATCTTGCTCATCTACCCACATGACTGTTGCTCTGCTGAATGAACACAAATATGTGTTTGAAAATATAGCAAACTTCCAAGACTTGATTGAAACAGAAATATAAAGTACCTTGAGTCCTCAATCACGCAAACATAACGGAGCACATTGCCATTTGAAGAAGCCCTTTCAACCCTCTCTTGGATGCCTTTATCAAGCAGTGGAAGGCCATTCACCAAAAAATCTTCAACATGCATTAGATTTGGTCCCATTTCTTCAGGATACAAGCTTTCAACCTACAAGATTAAAGTAGAAACTACATATAAATCTGGTCATACTTGATTTGAAAGTGGAGATATACAAGTATATCATCTCAATGTCCAAACCTTTATGTTGTCCAAGTCAATCCGCTGACCAAGAAGTCGAGCAAGGATCAAATGCTGTCTTCAAATAGAAAAACTAGTGATCAATACATGACATATTGCAACATATCTTAAAACTATCTCAAATAAAACTACGTAGTGTTTTGTATTATCTACTTCATCAGTGACAAGGTTTCATCAGAAGGGGATAAAAATAATAATTTCAATTAGTTTTGAAGTTAGAGGATTGCCCATTGAACAAGAACTATTAGATTTTTTAAACTTGCAAATCAACTACTTCAAGGATATCATCACTTTGAACAATATTGAGATTACTTCATATTTTGCACAAGTCGAACAGGAAACAAGTAGGAGATCTCAGTTGCTAGAATGCCAGTCAAACCATAATTTTTGTTTATAAGCCAGAACTACTCCAAATTGAGTACTATAACAGTTGCTGCACACTTGTCACTAATCAAATTCTTCCAATCTGTACAACACACTAGGTGTCACATTACATAAGTAAAACATTAAAGTTAATAATAGAACTAAGTCTTCCGCAAATGCGTACCATTTAGTAACAATATGTTTATGATGTATCCTCAAACAGAATACTTTCTTGAAATTAGTTTCACCTCAGCTAAATGCAAGTGATTTTATGGAAGGAGGGCAGGGGTCAACAAATTCCTGGAAAAAAAAATACAAACCTTTCTTGCTACATCCATCCCGCTGAGATCGTCACGAGGATCTGCGAGAATAAATATGAAATCAAGTTAAGCATTTCTTTAATCAAAAGTATTTCTCTTAAAATTCTAGAACAATCTTACAGAAGAATAGAACTAAATACAGTCACACAATGATCAAACTGTAATTAGATGCCATCAATGAATCTAGCTTTTTCAAGCGGCATCCGCAGGTAAAGTAAAATCATTGAGATACCATTGAAGTAAATGAAAGTCGTAACAACCATAGTATAGAAACAGCTCTGCTATTCAATGAAAGAAACCTAGTTTAATATAACATCATCAATTATGGCCAAAATTCCTATATTGGCCTAATACGTTGATGCATTTGTGAAAAACATTGTAAATAAAAAACAAACAATTACGCAGCGGATAAAATAATCATATCATACCTTTCGATGATAGAACCTCATGGATAAATCACGTGCTTCCATACTCAATCAATCAATCCCAGCAGTGGGGTGATATTACATTGGTGAATATCACCCACACAAACCACAGTGCAAATGACTTTGATCGTTATTTTTGGGAGAGAGTCAGTATCATTATATATATATATAGAAAACACACAAACAAAAGCATACAAAACTAATTTTAACACACAACTAATAAACAAAATTGAAATTAGAAAGTGCATTTCAGTTATGTTTACATGCATCAACTGCAAAGTACACATTTATTCTGTGTATCTTCAAAAAGAAATCTGGAACTTCACCACAATTTAAAATAAAAAACACATGTTGGCTTTAGCAATTCTACAAAGTAGCACTCCGGTGTGATTTATGCAAGACTCTTTCACAATAAGACAGGGATTCCTCAATGTCATTCAGATTTTTATTCAAACTTCAAAGTACAGAAACAGAACATAGCACAAAAAGATTCCCCAAAGGAAAACAAACCATGGGGCTCAAAAGGACATTAATTGTATGGAAAGAAGAAGTTTTTTAAAGGAATTTTCCTTTTCACATGCACATATGGAAAGAGAAAAGAGAGCAGAAAAATGAAAGCAAGGAGAAGAAAAAGAAGAGAGGGAACCACAGATAGAGAGCTCAATTGCTTCTCATTTTTTTATTTGGGTTAATTATAGAGTAAAGCTAACCTAGAAAGTAAGTACCCAAATCATATCATACCAAGTAGGATAACATGCAAGGCCTGAAATTTTTTCCATACACAAGCTACTAAAAACACAAATACATAGCAATATTTTATCGAAGATCCCTAATAGGCCAAATGACTACCGTGTTAATTGAAAATTGTCTTCCTACGGATCAACTATCAAATGATTCAAATGCTTCATTATAGCGATCTGCTGCAATCAAAGGGCTGTGACATTAGGTTGCAACACAGTCCCATGGTTATGATAACAATGCATATGATCTAAGAACTTCTTACTTGTATTGTCTACATCAATGATTGCCATGTCGAACACTTGTTCAGACAAGACGTATCGACTCATGCAACCCCTCGTTGTGTGCCAGGGTGTAGATTTTGGGAAGATTGTAGTGTCCGGCACCATAATTCATTCCAAAATGCAATACTTCATCTATTTATTTGTTAATAATGGACCAAAAAAAGTTAAACTGTAAGGACTGGATCCCTTTTTGATAAATAGATTACGAATTTGCCCGGCCTTTTCTTCTTCAATGCAATAATCTCCAATATATGAAGTGACACTAGGTCTAAAATATTGGTTCTGCACTACCTGCCAAAACCTCACAACGCTCATGCTGCTCTTGTGGTGGAATCAAAATGCCAACGTAATGAATCTCAAAAGTAGCTTAAATAAATTTTAGTTATCAAGAAACTACGATGGCATGAAGTAAAAAATAGTTTATGAATGTATTAAGAAAGATAGATCTTTCTTTCTTTCTTTCTTTCTTTTTAGAAGTATGATCTCAACAGAGATGAGGCACCAAGGGGGGTGCAACCCATATACCAAATAAAAAAAACATGAGCTCTACCCACTATACCTCAAAATTTACTCCCTGCAAAATCCAAAATTAGTTCAAGGGCGGGTTAGCCAACCCTGAGAACCAACTATATAAAAAAGAACGCAATTTTTCCTGAATACTCAAAATTTATTCTTCTTTACGAACAAAAGTTTTTTGGTTGGTTCCTTTCACCCCAAACCAACCACATCAACGCCAACAGGATCAAATTCCATGACTTCCTTTTCCCCTTCCCTACCCAAAAGAGACAGAGATTGTAAATTAGATATTCAATGCGGTTTTCTTTCTTTCTTTCCTCCAAACATTTTAACATAGACCAAAAAACAAACACCTTATAGGCATGCCAAACACTAAGGAGAGAGCATATGACTACTATCATTGATACATACAAACACTCTATTGTATGTGTGTATATATATATAGATGTAGAGTTCATCAATACCTGGTAAGGAGAGGCCAAACACACAAGCACACACTATATATGTACCTGGTAAGGATAGACCAAACACACAAGCACACACACACACACACTATATATATATATATATAGAGAGAGAGAGAGAGAATAAGAACACCATGCCACCAATACCAATAACGACATTGAAATGTTTTTTTTTGAAAAACGAGATGGTGAGGTTGGACAATGAAGGGGCAAAGATCTGAGAAGTTGAAAATTATAGTTAGGGTTTGAATTTGGGCAAACGAGAGAGAGAGAGAGAGAGAGAGAGAGAGAGAGCGTGTTTATCTGATGCAAGAGGTCTGAGATTGAGAGGATTAGCAATGGTAGAGTGTAGGCGGCTCGACACACTACCACCGAACAACCTTCCTCTCTCCGCCAAACCCATTGCTGCTCTGCCGCTGCTCCTGTTTCGTTTCGTGTTAGTGCCTTCTTCGTGTTTGCTCTCTGCTTTAGCCAGTTCGCCACCGACCTCACAGTGGGGAAACAGAGCGACACGACCATGGTGTGAGACATTTTTTGTGGTAGTGATTTTGAATGGTGGCCTAGGTTTGTGTTTATGTGAATGTCAAAGAGAAAGAGAAATAGACAGAGAGCAAAGAGAGAAACAGAGAATACATTGTGGGCAACGGTGAGAGAGAGAGAGAGAGAGAGAGAGAGAGAGGGAGAGGGAGGGCAAGTGAATTTTTTTATTATGTCTTCCACGTTTCAAATTTCCCTCCCAAATTTTTGGCGACCAAAAGATCATATTAGTCGCAGAAAAATAACCTTCACCGACAAATTTTTTTGGTCGCCAAATCTCAATCAACGGCGGCTAAAATATTAGTCGCTAAAAGTACTAATTTGGCGACTAGTTTTTTTTGGTTGCAGAAAATAAGTTTTTGGCGACCAAATTTTTGGTCGCCAAAAAATATGTGACCTTCCACGACCAAATTTGTAGTTGGTCGGCAAAAGCATACCATTTTCTGCAAAAAAATATAACCTTCTGCGACCAATAATATTTGGTCGCCAAAAATAATGATCATTCGCGACTAATTAATATTTGGTCGCCAAATGTTATTTTTTTGCGACCAAAATTTTTCTGGTCGGCAAAAGTGGTCGGCAAATGTGTAAATTCTTGTAGTGGATAGTGTACCACTTTTAAGAAGCATGGATACGGATACATAACATGACGCATGGAATTTTTTTATTTTTATTTCAAAACAATCTAGGACATAACGCGGCAATGACACACCAACAAATAAATATATATTTTTAGATGTGTACTTGAAAATAATAATTTATTCATAATTTTTACATTACAAATATTTATTTTTATATCAAAATAATAACAAATCATTTTCTGTAACTAACATACTGCAAAAGAATTGTGAACAAAAAAAGTTATAATATCTATTTTAGAAAGCTTTCATTATAAACAAGTTGAAAGTTTTTGGGTTTAAGAATCGTCAAAGTTCAAGTATATAGGAAGACTAATTAATTAGGTATAAATCTATATTATTTTTGTGTGAGTGATTTTCTGACCACACTGCCAACTCAGTAATCAGCTGGTGAGCACTGGCAGAATAGATGACACCTGGCTGACCTGCAACAGAAAGAGAAGATTCCGGCGGTAGTTCGTCCACTTGGGGGTACTCCGATGATTAAGTCAGTATATCTCTCGAAGATAATCAATAGTGCTAAACTCACTGTTCAGAATATAAATTGCGTACCTTAGACCCATGGGGGTGCCTCTCTTTTATAATAAACTCAATCCTTGTCCTAACAGAAGCCTAGCTTCAATGGACTTTAGCTCAGTACTTATCCAAGACTCTTTAATAGATAGAGAGAAACTCCCTAAGAGCTTTATCCTTATCCAGGCTGAGGTCCCTCATCATTCTAGGACTCTTGTGCCCTATCCGCTTATCTCGGATTCTGACATCTTCGGAGATAACCTCAGTCTTGCTGAGATAACCTCGGCGTCATGACCAGGACATGTGGCACCTCGGCTAACACGTCGGCGTCACCTTGGCCACGTGTTGGTACTCAG